CTACTACTAATCAAGAGACAGCTGGGACTGGTGGCACATGCCTATGATTTGAGCTACTGAGGAAGCTGAAGCAAAAAGATCACAAGTTCAAGGCCAGCTTAGGTAACTCAGTGAGACCCTGTCTCAAAATAAAAAATAAAAAGGACTGGAGATGTAACTCAGAGGTAGAGTGCCTTTGGGTTCAATCACAAGTACCACACACACAAACACACCAAAAGGGAAAAGAGGGAGTTGATCAACCACACACTACTATACAAGCCCAGACTTGTTTTTTTTTGGTTTGTTTTGTTTTCTGTATCAGGGATTGAACCCAGGGGCATTTAATCACTGAGCCATATCTCCAGCCCCCTTTTTAATATTTTATTTAAAGAAAGGGTCTCTTGCTTAGGCCTACGTTGCTGAGGCTAGCTTTTGAAGTCATGATCTTCCTGCCTCAGACTCCAAGCTGGTATTATAGGTGTGCGTCACTGCACCCGGCTTCAGACTTATTTTTTTAAATAACACCCACCTAAATGAATTTCCTATAAATTCCTAAACTATTAAGTTTCACCTTCCCAAATATGCCAATATTTTTTTAAAAATGGTAATCCATTCAAATTAGCTACCTCAGTTAACACTACAGCTCTAAGCCTAGGTTAAGTTTTACCAAAACTAATGTCCTTTGACCATGATGTATTAACTGAGCTAACTTACATCCTCATTTTGTCTATACAACTCTCAGTCCTTTCAAAGATGAGTTTCCTATGTGCCAGGAAAAGTCCTATCCTTCACGAATAGGACTGACTCAAACACTAGTTCTCTTGACAGGCATGGAAAATGGGGTGGGGGGACCACAGTCCAGCACTAGACTGAAAATGAAGCTAGTGATCAATCAGAACCAAAAGGCAGATCTTATTTATCTGGGTTTTGCTTTGTTTAAGGGGGTGGGAGGTTTCTTAGCCCATAGTCATCATACGGCTTATATAAAAAGAAAACTTGCCATTCTATCCTCCAATAATCCAAAGAGTTGGAAGGGACAATTTACAGCCTCTTGTGTAAAAAATGTCTATAAATGCCAAATGCCATTCTTTGCCCTGTCACTTTCCATTATCCTAAACCAACAGGATCCTATTCACTGAAAGCTAGGCTAAAAACATGAACGGACAGACTTTTATTGGGCAGGGAGAAAGGGAGATGATGATTTTGGAGGGTGGGTGAGTGTGGGAAGTCAAGATTTCTTAGAGACTCTGTGTAGCGCCTAATGTGTATAGTATATTAGTTGAGAACTCGACTCATGTAAAAGTCAGCCTAGGAAGAATAGCAGAGATTTAGTGTCCTCAAATTTATAATACACTTAAGCTGTAAATCCAAAATATGAAAAAGAAATGATCAGATTATGACTTTTTAAAACAATCAGTCATAAATATTACTTGATCCCTTGCTCATTTGCTCCCATATACTTCCTTCCTTTCTTCATATATACTGCTCTGGAGCCAAGTCTACTGAAGAGAAAGCAAACAAGCAGGGCCTTTAATGGGATCAAGGAAACAGAAACTCTGCAATGGAGAAGACAGGGGAAAGGTTTCTCACTGTCCCACTTGGAATACTAGGACAGAGAAGAGGCACTAGATACTACCTCCACTACTGTCCCTCTGCTAACTAAAGGAAACCTAATGAACTTAAAACTTAAAGTGGCCAAACTACACAGGCTATCCTGGAATCCAAAACCTCAAGAAAGATGGACAGAAGTATGCTAATATAGCTGTTCCATAAACATAAAATGAATATATTCATGTCAAGAATTTTGGCTAACCAAATTAACACAAGGTAGTAACTCCTTTCCAGTGACAGACAAGTTAAGCTCAAGTTTTAGAACCAGGCAATTCTCACTAGAGAATTCAGCCAGTTGCAATTTCAGAAAAATTTACTTGGATCATAGTGCATTCTACTGTCATGTGTAACTAATTAGAACAAATAAAAAATTAAAAAGTTACTTAGAAAAAAAAAACTTTCCTTTTCCTATCTTTTACTTCCTTTCTTCCAACTTTTTTCCTTCTAGATTCACTCTGAAACTGTTTATATTTTCTACAAGTATTTAAAAAATTATGGGGGCTGGGAATGTGGCTCAAGCCTGGCATGCACGGGGCGCTGGGTTCGATCCTCACCACCACATTAAAAAAAAAAAAAATTCTCTCTCTCTCTTAAAAAAGAAAAAAAATTCTGAGGGCTGGGGGTTGTAGTTCAGTGGTAGAGCGCTCACCTCACATGTATGAGGCCCTGGGTTTGATCCTCAGCACCACATAAGAATAAATCAACAAAAAATAAAGATATTGTGCCCATCTACAACTAAAAAAATATTTTAAAAAAATTCTGGGCTATAGGGATGGGGGTATAACTCAGTGACAGAACATTTACCTAGTATATGTGTGTGTGTATGTGTGTATACTGCTCTGGAGCCAGTATGTTTGATCTAGCATGGCAAAAAAATTAACTGATTTTTAAAAAGTTTTTTTCTTTTTAGTTGTAGATGGACACAATACCTTTATTTTATTTATTTTTATGTGGTGCTGAAGATCAAACCCAGTGTCTCAAGTATGCTAGGCAAGCACTCTACCACTGAGCCGTAATCCCGGCCACAAACTGATTTTTATTAAATAAATAAAGCCAGTTTACCAACAGAACTAAGAAAAAAAGAGTTGGGGGCAGGAGGATGACAAGTTTGAGGCCACCCTCTGCAACTAAGCAATATCCTGTCTCATAATAAAAAATTAAAAGGGCTGTGGACATAGCTCAGTGATAAAGCACCCCTGGGTTCAATCCTCAGTACCCACCCTCTCAAAAAAAAAAAGGCTAAAAGAAAAAGAAAACTAATATTTATTGAGGGTCAAACTGTTAGTAGGTTACAATTAATAATTAAATACACAATTATTTACTTTCCTCAACTAGGATACTGGAGATTACTCCAAACTTTACCAATGAAAATCAAAAAGTTTAGTCATTTTCTCAAGGTCACAAAAGTAATATATACATATATGTATATATATGTGTATATACACACATATACATATATGTGTATACACACACATATACATATGTGTGTGCAAATATATGTGTATATTCAGCCTCCTATGGACTAAAAATGAATAGGTCAAATATGAAGAAAAGATTCTAGGGAAGGGAAGAAGGAAGAGAAGGGCTAATATCCTTATAATGAAACACATCACATAAGAACAACTCAGGTGGGGACTAGGGTTGTAGCTCAGTGGTAGAGCATTTGCCTAGCATGTGTGAGGCACTGGGTTTGATCCTCAGCACCACATAAAAATAAATAAATAAAAAATAAAGTCATTGTTTCCATCTACAACTAGAGAAAAATATTTAAAAGAAAAAAAAAGAAACCTCAGATAGACAATATAGTACGGTGGGATTTTTCTTAGGAATGTGATCATATGACCCAAGTAGTATGACATATGATGTTCAGTTTTTTAAATTCTGAAGATACAAACACACACAGTTCTCCTAGAAGTTGGGGTGAAATTACTGCTGAGGTTTTTAAACACCTAACCCTCATATTCAAAAGAAGGAGCTAAGCCAAGTGTAGTAGCGCATACCTGTAATCCTAGTGGTCAGGAGGCTGAGGCAGGAGTATTACAAGTTCAAGGCAGCCTAAGCAACTCAGCGAGGCCCTCCTAAGCAACTCAGCAAGACCCTGTCTCAAAGTAAAATATAGAAAGAGCTAGGAAGCCGGACATGGTGGCACATGCCTGTAATCCTCATGGCTCAGGAGGCTGAGGCAAGAGGATCAAGAGTTCAAAGGCAGCCACAGCAAAAGCGAGATGCTAAGCAACTCTGTGAGACCCTGTCTCTAAATAGAAATACAAAATAGGGCTGGGGAAGTGGCCAATGATTGAGTGCCCCCGAGTTCAATCCCCAGTATCACCCAAAAAAGAGTTTAGAAAGTGCTAGCAATGTGGCTCAGTGGGTAAGCACCCCTGGGTTCAATCTCTGGTACCAATAAATAAATAAGGCTGAGGATATAGCTTGTGATACAGTGTCCTGGGATTAATCGTCAGTACCAAAAAACAAAACAAGAAAAGGAGCTACATGAGAATCAGAACCACAGATCCAAGAGATGCCTCTCCTTGGCCATCTACCACAACATAAACAACTTTGGCTTTATATTAAGTCTTCCCAATTAAGCTGCAGGTAGTTTAAGAATCAAATAATCTGCCTGTCTCCCAACTCCTTTTTTTCTTTCTTATTTCACATAACTGGCAAGTATTTTTATTGGAACACCTCAGCATCATACTAGGCCCATGGACCTGATGTTATACGCCTAGTAAAACATTACAAATGTAACCTAGGTTCAGGGATATAGCTCAGTGACAGAGTGCTTGCCTAAAGTATGTGAGACCCTGGGTTCCATCTGCAGCACTGAAAAAAAACCTAAAGGAAAGAAAGATGGAGCACAGCTATGTACAAGGTCCATAGTGACAAGTGATTGCTTTCAGTGCTTAGTTTTTTTGTTTTTTGTTTTTTGGTTTTTCTTTCCTCAAAGAGGAAACAGCTTTCTAGAGTTAAATGCTTCTATACTAAAGTCAGAAATAATGAATTGTTTTTTAATGATAATTTTTGGGGATTTGAGACCTTTAAATTTTGTTTCTGGTACCTTCAACCTAAAAGACAAAACTGTTTTCTCCTAATTATTTAATTTCCATTATGCCTATATCAGAAGTTAAAACAGATGTAACAGGTTTTAACATTACTGTATTCAACATCTTGACCAAGAAAAATATAGACCATACTTTAAAAGCATGGGTGAAAGCTATGAAAACAATCTGTAGAACAAAAAATTTAGCTTGTGAAATAGCTCCTGTAATGTACCAAGTCAGTGACGGGCAATATTCAAAGGACTGGATGAAATATAACCAGCTACATTCAATAGTGTCATTTCCAATTTATGTAAGCTTCCCAAGATGTTCTCATATTGCAAAACAGCACTCTTATCCAATCTACATTACCTTTCTAGAGATTGAAGAGACATTCAAACCAAATCTTTGTGCTCTTTCCTTTAGCTTATCCAGGTTAACCTATAAAAACACAGGGATATTTTAAAAAATCAAAATAGAAAATAGAGAAGGTAGAAACTATGGTCCAAAATTAAAAGTTCAAATAATCCTATAACATCAAAGACACCCCATGTGCCAAACATGGAAACTAAGCATCACCCATCCATCCTACTGATTATTAAAAGGCCTCTTCTGGAATGCAGTCAATGATTCAATCCTGCCTTCTTCATTCATCAAAGATGGCAAGAGTCTAAGAAAAGTTTATGGCCAAAGTAGACCAAACACTACTTGAAAAAGCAAACATATATACAAATCTTTACCTCCAAAAAAAGTCCATCATTCACAGTCCAAAATTATTCATTCCTTCATAGTCTCTGCAAATAGTTCTTTATCTTCAAACCAAAAACAAACTGACAACCATCTTCAAAAGACAAGTGTACCTCCACCACCCAACTGAACTCTCTTCCCTCACTTTTCTTGGAAGCCTTGGCATATGAGAGTTGTAATCATAAGGCTGTTTAGGACATTTTTATTAACAACAACAATAATAAAACATTTCAGAATAACTTACAATACTGAACTGTAACCCCAAGGGCAAGATTTCTTAAAGCTGAACATATTTTACCACAGTACGTTTCCACTTTCTAAACATAGACTAGTTATAATGGCCTAAGCCATTCTTATTCTAACATTCTTTACTCTCTTGACTTTATATTTAATAGGTAATATCTAGGAAAAAAATTCTACAAACAGACCTCATAAATTGCTTCCATAGATCCTCTTGTGGTAATTAAGAATCAAACATTATCTAAAGCCACAGGACAAAGCCTAAAATTCCAATACCATAAAACAAAGGGAATGTCTCCAGCTAACAAAATCTATTCATCTTTTCAAAAAGAGGAATACTAGGAAGGAAGATATCTACAGTAACATCACGATGTGTCAACTTTCCATACTTCAAGCAGTGTGTGTGCATGTGTGGGGGTGTGTGTGTGTATTTCCCCCGCCCCTTGAGACAAGAGTCTTGCTAAGCTGCCCAGGCTGGCCTTAAACTTGGAATCCTCCTGCCTGAATAGTCAGGATTCCAAGTATATGCCACCATGCCCAGCAAAGAATTTTCTTTTATTATTCATAACACACAACATCATACTGAAAACAGTTACCAAACTCATGAGTTCCCTGTGATCTGGGGAGAGGAGGGGTCTCTAACTTTAAAACTAACTGTATGGAGTTAAGATCTGGCTCTTCAAGGGATAAAAAAAGATTTCATACCATAGGCTTGGTGTCAGATGACAGACCTAATGAAGCAAATAAAAAAGTTTTATTTAATATTTTTCAAAGTCAGAAAGGAAGATAACAGTCTTCAAATAAAATTAGAATGCATAAAAACAGCACAGAGAACAAATGTCCTTTATCCTATGATGAGAAAGGCGGCAGAAAATGCATCCAGAGACATATCTGCATTCTCTGCTGGTGGTATAACTATTTTTGAAAACAGTTTGGTAATTTTGCAAAAATTTAAGCATATTGTTACCATATCATCTAGCAACTCTACTCCATGATATATGCCTAAGAGAAATGAAAATGTCCACAGAAGCATTATTCATATTAGATAAAATGAGAAAACAACCCAAACATCCATCAACTGACAACTGGGTAAATAAAATGTCACATATCCATACCATGGAATATTATAAGCAATAAAAATGAATGGAACAGTGATACATACTATATATCAACCTCGAAAACATAAGTGAAAGAAACCATTTATAAAAGATCACATAATGTATGACTTCAATGATATGAAGTCAAGTTTATACATAGAGAAATAAAACAGTGGTTGCCTAGGACTGGGGTAGAAGAAGGAATGGGGGGATAGATGCTAACAGGTGTTGGGGTATTGTATTCTAAAATTAGATTGATGACGGCTGCATAATCCTCCGAATAAATTAAAAACACAAAGAATTATATACTTAAACGGATGAGTTGTATGGTATACAGATTATATTTCAGTAAAACTATTTAAAAGAGATTATAGCTGGACAAATTAGCAGAACTACTACCGTGACCTGAAATTATGGCTGCTTAAAGCTAATATTCTGTCTTGAAATTATCACCCAGAAGCAAGCAATAAACTGGCCTGATGATCCAACTCTAACCTAGTTACTAATTATTTATTTCAATCTTTTTGGAATTTTATTTTAATCAATCTCAATCTTGCAAGGAATTCCCTAACTTTCCATTGTGAACATTCAGGAATAGATTCAAGTTTTTCATTTTTGCAGTACTGGGAATTGAACCCAGGGCCTTGCATGTGCTAGGCAAGCACTCTATATCTGATCAAACTTTAATATTCAGATTTAATCTTGCTAAATAGCCCAGGATAATCTCCAACCCGTGGTCCTCGTGCTTCAGCCTCTTGAGTACCTAGTTATAGGCATGCACCATCATGCCCAGTTGAATTCAACTTCAATACAATCCATGGGCTAGGAACTGATACGTATTCTATGTTCTCATAAAAAAAAAAAAACAAAAAACAAAAACCCTTCCTCTTAAATGTTCCCAAATTCTACTCTTTTTAAAAAAGTTATTCTATAGTTCTACATGTCAGGATTATATAAAAACACTGCAAATGTTATGTATACATTATTTTATTGAACAGGTTTCCTTTTTATATGATTTACTTTAGCTTTTATTGTTCTCCAAAAATCGTCTTTAGTTGTTTCTGATGCATCTTTACCAACTCTCTCTCTCAATATAACTAAGAGCCAAAAAATAAGTTGTTTCTAAAATACTTAAGAGGTAGTGGCCAGAATTTGATCTTTTTAATTTTTTTTTAATATTTATTTTTTTTAGTTCTCAGGGGACACAACATCTTTGTTGGTATGTGGTGCTGAGGATCAAACCCGGGCCACACGCATGCCAGGCGAGCACGCTACCGCTTGAGCCACATCCCCAGCCCAATTTGATCTTTTTAAAATCACAGCAAATTACTTCAAAAAGGATGTTTTATCAACCCACTTAAAATTATTAAAAGGTAATCAGGACTAGGGTTCGGAGACTACATTTTAAATTTTTAAAAAAGGGACTATGTTTTTTGTGTTTTTTTTTTTTAATCATTGTATAGATTTTAAAAAGACAAGAGAAGTCAGGCACAGTGGCACATGCATGTAATCCCAGCAGCTTCCTGAGGCAGGAAAATTGCAAGTTTGGGCCAACCTGGGCAATTTAGTAATATCCTGTCTCAAAATAAAAAATAAAAAGGGTTGAGGATGTAACTCTGTGGTAAAGTGCCCCTGGGTTCGACCTCCAGTACTCGGGAGAGGAGTATATATATACTATGGATATATAGCCATATATATGTAAATTAAAAAGTAAAAACACAGATAAGTCATTCAAAATTCCACCAAATGCTAACAATTTAGTATACGTCCTTCTAATACTTTTTTCCTATCCATACAGGCAAGTTTTTATGACTAAAATAAGAACATAATTATAATTTTTAACTTGACTTTTTCACTTAACATCGAACATTTTTTAAAATATCTTTTTGTGTTGGGAGTGACACTGGAGATTAACTAAGGGTTCTCCATCACTGAGCAACATTCCCAGCCCTTTTTATTTTAAGAGAGTCTAACTAAGTTACTGAGGCTAGCCTTAAACTTTTGATCCTCTTGCCTTAGCCTCCCAAATTGCAGGGATTATAGGCCATGCGTCAGCAGCATGCCCAGCTTAATCACCTTTAATATAGTGTATTCTACTATACTGTGGCACACATTTATTTATACAATTCTCTACTGTATATTTAGTTGTTTCCAGTTATTTATCGCTATAATAATTTTGTTGATAGTCCTCATGGCTAAATCTTTATGCACATCCAAGATTATTTCCTTAAATTTCTAGAAGTAGAATGCTTAAGGTAAAAGATATTCCCTTTTACCACTTATACTAACCCACAACACTAATAGATACACAATATAATTTTTTATGCTATAAGGCACTAGAATAAGTAAGCAAAGTAGTAGAAACTTTTTGTTTGTTTGTTTCTTTGGTGCAAGGGAATGAACCCAGGGACACTTAACCACTAAGCCACATCACCAGCCCCCTGCCTTTTTAATATATATTTTATTAGAGATTGGGTCTTGCTAAGTTGCTTAGAGACTTGCTAAATCGCTGAAGCTGGCTTGAACTTGAAATCCTCCTGCCTCAGCCTCCAAAGCCACTGACGATGTCTAAGGAAAGGAAATGAATGTTGGTACCTCCTCCTATTTTCTTCTAATTTCAGAACTTCTCTTAATTGCTCAGGAATTGATTAAGTATAATTTTACCTAAAGCAAAGAAGCAAATGCTATAACCTCATAAGGGTTTCTAGAGCTAACAAGTTTAGCTTAATTTGGAGAAAAAAATGTTATGACAGAAAAGAAACAAAATAAATAAAACTTTCTCAGAAAAACCTCTATATCCTTACCTTTTGTTGGAACTGAAGAAATTCCAAACCTGTAGGAAGAAAAACAAACTAAATTTTAGGAAGCTGTTCACACTCCTGGTTGTCTGTCTCCGCACCAATCGTCACATGACTGACACTTCTTGCTTGTGATCTCAAACTTTGCAATCATTAGCTAATTCTAACAACCCCATGAAAGAGGTTCCCTCTCTCACCAAAAGTCCAAAGAGTAAGCTACAAGGAAGCCTTATCAAAACTAGAAGTAGCACATTCCTTTTACCTATTTTTAAAAACTCTATTCACTAATAAAGCATGATCTATAGCCTACTACATCCAAATCAGCAGAGATATTCTGAATAGGGCCAAATTATATACTCCATTTCCTTTCAACAGGGTCACTATTCTACTTAAAATCAATAATTATGTCTAAAACCTAAGGCACATCCCCACATGTTCACCCTGACATTCATTTTCAGGTTCAAAAGGATGGAGACACTCACCTAGCTGCCCGGGCAGCTTTCTTACTCTCCAAGCTCACAGGTACATTGAATCGCTCAGCCCTCTTCTGCATTCTCTAAGTGACAACAGATGAAAGAGAAGAGAAAAAATAAATTTCTAGTTAAAAAAATGTTAGTTAGAGGCAGTGGCTCACACCCAGCTTCTAGAGAGGCTAAGGCTAAGGCACGAAACTTCCAAGTTTGCTTGATCAACTCAACAAAATCTTGTCTCAAAAAATAAAAAGGGCTGGAGATGTAGCTCAGTATTAGAGTGCTTGTTTAGCATGCAGAAGGCCCTTGAGTTCAATCCTTATTACATACACACACACACATTCTAGAGGACTTCAGGTTGTACCCATCCTAGGACTTAATATAAGTTCCAGAAAGGAAATACAAAAAGACCATTATTATATTCATGTCTTTGAAAACAAAAGGGAGGAATAAAATAAAATCCACATTTTGCATGACACCAAGAACACAAAAGCTATATTTGGTTGACCTTTGAAAAAGGATCAAAGGAATAGATTGGTTCCAATACTAGTGGTAATATTTTAGTTAGAAATGCGGCATAGCATTGTCTCATAGCATCCTAAAAGAGTTTAGCAATTCTCTACTTTAAAGGTATAAAACTGAACACAAAATTTCAATGGGAACCTGGTTTCAGAAACCTTGGAAAAAATCCAAAGAAAATTTAATCTCACCTACTGGCAAGTAGCAATTCAAGAGGGATACTTACCATTGTTACCTCTTCAAGGTATAATCCTCCCAAACTAATCCAAGGTTTGTAAACACCTTAGAGACTCACCATTAAGCCAGAGAATTATATGTAACGTAGCTTCAAAGGTGACTACCCACTATGACAATCCAAATATTTTTCTAAGAGTAGTTGGTAGAAAAATCAACATCAAAATCTGTCAATACTGATTTTGTGCCTATGAATATATTTTTTTTTAATAATTATATAGACAGGATAAAGGGTAAGAAACAGAAATGTAAATGGTTCTACCATGGAACAAAATATTTACCTCAGTCTGTGGCATTTCAGAAGTAATTTTTACCACCTTCTTCTCTGCTGCCCTGGAAAAGGAAGATTTTTTTAAAAATCAGAAAATTGATATTCTAAACCAAGACCTTCAAAACATAAGAATTCACGTGAGTCATGTCCTCTGCCCATATCTCTCTGCTACCCCTTAATCCAAAGAAATATGAAGTCCATTAAAACTCTGATTCCTTGAACTGTCATCTACTATAAAGAAAAAGTTCAAATAATATTAAGCTACTTTAACTAAGGGATAAGGAAATAATCAAGAAAAAAGTCTGGTTAGATATTATGGGAAACAAAGAACACCAGAAACTATTTCATTTGTTTTTAGGCACTTTAAATTTACTTTTAGACTAATTACTATCCCTCTAACCTTCATTTAAATATCAGGTTTCAATTTTCATCACAACAATAATTAAATGAGTGCTCTACAAACTCCTATTTCCTTCTTTTAGAAATCTTTATTTCTCCCATGGGAAATATAGCTGCAGCTAAAACAACTCAAACTGGAACAAATAAAAATGCCAAAGGGAGCAAGAAGAAAAAAGACTAAGTGAGGTTTGAATTAGGAAAACATGTAAGTTACTGGTCAAAAGGTTTAAGAGAAAACAAAAGAGGGGGACCATAGGGGCGGGAGACAAAGTTCAGAAGTACCTAGGATAAATAGAAGGACATTAACCCTCCACCAAACAACTCCCATAAAACTGTGGGTCATAACCAGTCTCATTAAGGTCCCTCATTTAGAGATATGGGCAGCTTTTGTTCCAATATCCCGGACACTTTTCCCATTTGATGCCCTGAAAGGTAGTAATGGTTTAATGACATTTTCAGAGGAAGTAATTCTGGAACAGGAACTTACTTACTTTCTCCTCCATCCTTTTGTTGGAGGTCTCAAGACTACAGACAAGCAATGGGTGCCCCCTGCTGACCACAACTAAATCCTACAATATTTAACTGCTTTGGCTAAAACAATAAATAAAAATAAATAAAACCACAAACAAAAGTATATTTATGGAGAACCTCAGATCAAAGATGAAGCAAGGGAATTTCCTTTTGAATACCTGAGGAACAATTTAGATCTGAATATCCTTATTTTTTTTTTTTAAGGAAGTTTCGACATAATTCCATCTCCTGACCTCCTTCCCCAGGACTTTCTGATGTTCAGGCAAAAAAGGCCACAGAAGATTAATGTTTTACTTGAAGTCCAATGTCATTAGGGAACACTCCTCTCCATCAATCCCAGGCTAATGACTTCCTCCACTATTCTCATCTTGAAACACAATCTCTGCAGTAGACCTCAAGGCAAAAAGGTTATCCAGGTTTCTGCTCTATTCCAATTCTCTTAAGCACAAAATTAAACTTAAGTAATAAATATATATCACATTCTGGGATTCACAGGAAATTTTCATTTGTCATTGACAAATTTTTCTCCTACCCACAGACACATACAAAGCACTCCAAAAACTACATGGGGGCTGGGGTTGTGGTTCAGTGGCACAGCGCTTGCCTCACACATGTGAGGCACTGGGTTCAATCCTCAGCACCACATAAAAATAAACAAAATAAAGATATTGTGTCCATGTATAACTAAAAAATATTTTTTAAAAAACTACAGGGACCTTAATTCCCCTTTCTGTACATAATTAATCTAACCATAACTATCCTCTAAAAAACCAAAAATTACCACCACCCCACACACACTTTCAATTTCCTTGTTTCAAAATTCATCAATAGAATTAAAGCCCCCGAATACAAGAATTAACACATTTTACATATGTTAAGGATAATGAATTTCTACAAATTTTCCAACCTCGTTATATTTTTAACCCAAGCAAGCCAATTATTGTATTCATTTGGTCTTCCTTCTTGTCCTAGGAGTCCCCAAACATCTATTTTAAAGCTATCCCATTAATTCATTTTCTCAAGTCACTATATTGAATTATAAACCTATGTGTGGCTCATTGGTAGAGTGCAATGCTTAGTATATTTGAGGCTCAGTGTTCAATTTCAGCAATAAAAAAATATTTTAACAAAAACCAACAAGAACAAGAACCTGTGATAAGACAGCTAATGGCTTTATGAAGAAATAGCTGACAAAATCTACCACAATGTTAAATGCACATTCTCTATGATACAGCAAATCTCTTCCTAGAAATTTATCTGATGGACATATATACGTATAAAAAATAGTTGAATAAGGACAGATAGCACTGCCTTTTTTCTGCTTTATGAATAATCTAAATGTCTATCAAACAAGTCACAGGTGAAATAAATTATTATTCCTAAATAGAGTGAAATACTACTGTCTACAAAAAAGAATAAGGTTCTAACATTAATAACCACTATATTTCGGTGATGGGTATATGAGAGTCTACCAAACTATTTTCATAACCTCTGTATACACTTGTAATTTCCCTAATGAACTTAAAAAAAAAAGACTGCCACTTAATAGGACAATTAACCCTACTCAATAAGATGATGTAACGACTGAATGAGAATACATGTAAAACACTTAGAACCATATCTAGTATATAACATTACCATAAATAAATATAAAGATATCCAAATGTGAACAAAAAAAATGGAAAAACTGTGCATAGCATGTGTATATATTTGTTTATGCATACATATACTTAGGCGCATACACATACATAGGTACATACACACAAACTAAAAACCTTTGGAAAGTGTGATGAGATGGATACAATAAGTATTCGATTTTCCATTTATATAACCCTCTGTGTATTGCTTGAATTTTTACTTGTACATACATTGCCTTGTATAATTAAATGCATTTAACAGAGCTATAAGGAACAAAAATGTTAAGAGGGACTCAACTGTTCTTAATGTGCTGTAGTACAAAATGCCCAGACATTTGTGGAAAGAAACCCAAATAAAAGATGATCAACCTTGTGGGCTAGTTTAAACAAATCGAGATCCACTTTCTCTAGTACTTTGTCCTCCCCTCCTCCACTGTAAATCAAAAAGCAAGAGAGAATACAGCATTACTTGAGAGACATAACCTCTACCCAACACCCTCCTTCCTTATTAAATTCCTTATAAACAGTTTTACATTTTTCTGTAAAAGTGTAAAACTCTGCAAAGTGTAAGAGTTTACAAAATTTTACAACATATAAAGAATCATACAGATTCTAACAGTATAAGCTATTATGGTGATCCTACAAAAGAACAAAGGCTAGGAGAACTAAATTATGTCTGTGCTTGAAGTCATCTGGTTCTAATTACGTATTATACAACTTGAAAACAAACTGCTTCCTTCCCTGGGACCATGGACTTGAAGTAGTCCCTTCTGAAAATGTCTGATCTAATCAGAAGTGAAAAAAGTCAATGACAATCTTTAAAAGGTAAAGAGAGTGAAATTTTACACTCAATAAAAACAGAACTTTCTGCTCTGTATTCAGATTATAAAAAAGAGATAATTACACATCAACAGTTTTTTCAGGGGGTTCTTCCTCTTTGACCGGCAGTTCTATGGGCTTTGGTTCTTCTTCCTAAAACCAAACAACACAACACAGTTAACATAAATCAAGAGTTAATACACATCAAAAGAGGGATATCAGAACGCCAAAATGAGTCAGTTTTCAGAATCTTCATTCCCTCCTTAGGCTCCCCTAATAAATTAGTATCTAAGCACTCTAATGATTGATAATAAGCAATGTGGCCCAGGCAGTGGCATATCACCAGACCAGTGACTAACCTTAACTCTTTCCAACTCACCTCTGTTTCATCTCCCAGTACATCTTCTTCATTCGCCTCCTCTTCAGCTAAAGAATATTAAAATAATCAGGTCAAGCCCTGCTATAAAACCATCTTGATCACTGTGCTGAGGCTAATATCACAAACACTTTGCTTTCCCAAAATAAAAATCAACAATGAAAGTAAAACTCATGCTCAGAAAATCTGCTACATTTGGAGAAAATAAAACCATATCTCTACTTAACATTAGTACAAAGTTGAACTCCATCTTGACTGAAAAATTAAATTAAAATTAATTTTTAATTAATTTATGACCTCACGGAGGTCATAACAGAATTAATTTAAAAATAAGGCAGGATCTCTTTGAAATTTAGTGGTAGGGAAGGATTTGTTTAAAAAAAATAAATGTTTGCCTAGCCCGAGCAAGACCCCCAGTTCGATACCCCACACTACAAAAAGAAACAAACCCAAAGGCAACAGCATGAGGTAAAAAAGGAAGATTTTTCAAAACTAAGGACATCTATTTAGGGAAGAAAACCAAGGAAAATTTTTGGACAAATAACAAAGATATTTGTGCCTAAAGGCAAAAAGGAAACAGTTGCTAGAATATAAAAGAAATGTCTGCAATCAACAACTGAATGATGGGAACGCTAATAGAAAAAGGGCAAAGAAGGAACCCAAAGAATCATGAACAAAGTAAATTTAAGTTGTTGTTTTTTTTTAATAGAACAAAGTAAATTAAACCATCCAACAAATGTAGCAAAAATTAGGGCTGGGGATATAGCTCAGCTGGTAGAGTGACTGCCTCACATGCACAAGGCCCTGGGTTCAATCGCCAGGCACCACAAAAAAAAAGAGGAGCAAAAATTAGGCTATTTGAATAGATAATGCCAAATTTAGTTTTGTGAAGATACAAAGACCCTGATGTACTGGTTATGCAAGTATAGACTAACAGGACAATTCTGGGAAATAATCTGGCAGTGCTCAGTTATTTTCAGTTTGTATATGTTTTTATGAATATATAATAATTAACAATCCCATTATGAGTATACACACCAGAAAGACTCTCACAAGAACATGAGCAAACAAAAGTAGTTCATAATATAATATTATGTATGGTACATATATTATTATATACACTATACATAATACTACTATATATAACAAACTGTAGAATATATTATATACTAGTATAACACATAGTATCCTATGTACTACTATATGTATTACTAATGCATACAGAATTACTGTAAATAGTAGTACTATTTATAGTAGCTAGGGCTTGAAGGCAATAAGTATCTGCTACAGGATGACCTGCAAAATGTGATGGCTATTCATCATAAAAAGATACACATGATTTAGAACGAATAATCTGGATGATCACATAGCCTCAATCAACAAGATACAACTTAAAAAAAAAAAAACACTTAGAAATAAAGTAAGGCTTCACAGACTCATTAATAATTACATAAATGATCCTGCCTGAGGCTCCCAAGATGCTAGGAACAGGCATATGCCCCCAAACCTCACTCATTCTTATTTCATTTTTTAAATTTTATTGATTTATTTATTTTTGGTACCAAGGATTGAACTCAGTGGCATTCGACCACTAAGCCACATCCTTAGCCCTATTTTGTATTTCATTTAGAGACAGGGTCTCACTTAGTTGCTTTACAGCCTCGCTTTTTTTTTTTTTTTTTTTTTTTAAGAGAGAGTGAGAGAGAGAGAGGGAGAGAGAGAGAGAATTTTTAATATTTATTTTTTAGTTCTCGGCAGACACAACATCTTTGTTTGTATGTGGTGCTGAGGATCGAACCCGGGCCGCACGCATGCCAGGCAAGCGCGCTACCGCTTGAGCCACATCCCCAGCCCTACAGCCTCGCTTTTGCTGAGGCTTTGAACTCACTATCCTCCTGCCTCAGCCTCCAGAGGTACTGGGATTACAGGCATGCTCCATCACACCCGGCCTGTTTTTGTTTTAAAAAAACTGCAGAATCGAAAACTTGGTAGGGATCAGAAATTACCTAGTTTACAGATTTCAAGGGTCTAGACATTTGTCTCATGTCACAGATCAGGAATAGACACTAGCCCTGTAAACAATAACTATCCAAAGTTACCTAGTAAATTTTTGGCATAAAACTAAAACACAAGCCTTCTATTGCATGCCTGCAATTCCACTGACTTAAGAGGCTGAGGCAGGAGGATAGAGAGTTCAAAGCCTCAGCTATAGCGATGTACTAAGCAACTCGGTGAGACCCCGTCTCTAAATAAAATATTTTAAAAAGAGCTGGGGATGTGACTCAATGGTTAAGTGTCCCTGGGTTACATTCCCGGTACAAAAAAAAAAAAACAAGCCTTCCATTTCTCAATCTAATGATACTTATATTACCATGCCAACTTTATTTCTTTTTTCAATGATTTTTTAAATTTGTTCTTTTTAGATACGCATGGCAATAGAGTGCACTTTGAAATATTAAACATACAACCATACTAACTTTTAAATAACATGCTCAGATATTAAGAGGCCAACCTGGGCAACATAGCAAGATGCTATCTCTTCAAAAAAAAGGGGGGAGGGTGCTGATATAAAATTATGTCTTTAAAAAAGGGAATAGTTCTTTGCACTATAACCATTGTTTTATATGACCAAGAGTTTTCTTTTTTTTTCCTTTCTTTTTTTGCAGTGTTGGGGATCAAACCCAGGTCCTTATGCACACTACTTCTGAGCACTCTACTTCTGAGCTATACACCAGCCCATAAAAGTTTTCTTGATGCAGTTAATTAAGAGCTTACATCACCAATGACGTAAAAAAGGAAGAAATATAAGTGATAGAGCCTAAAAATTATTCCCCTCATTCATATCACCTTGTTTGCATAAAGTACTCACCATGCTCTTCAAGATATGCCTGGAGCCTGTTAATGAGATCTTGTTTTATTCCCTTGGTCTCCAAACCACGAGCAAGACATTCTTGCTTTAGTTCAGCAAGCTGAGAGAAAAAAAAAAAAAATTAAACATTTCCTTAGTTACCAGGATGAATCCCAATGAATGAAAAGAAGTAGTTTTCACAAGGGAAAAAAGAAAGGAAAAAAAGAAAAGAAAAGAAAGTTCAATCCCACACCATTGCCCTTAATCCTACTGAGACTCTGGGTCCATAGAGATTGACTCATCCTCATCTAACTGGGGACAAGGATGTAACTCAGTGGTAGAATACTTGTCTAGCATGTATGAGGTCCTGAGTTTAATCCCCAGTACCAAAAAGAAAAAAAAAATCAGTAATTTGACTAAAATTACAAGGTATACTTATAAATTTTGCAGGAATGAAGAATTGTTGGATTACTGACAGAACATGAAAAAACAAAACTTTAAAAAAAAATAAATAAAAGAACCCTTTTCAGGGAAAACAAAGAAATGAAGACTTCATTTAAAAGGAGGGCTGGGGTTGTAGCTCAGTGGTAGAGCGCTATCTAGCACCTGTGAGGCACTGGGTTCAATCCTCACACCACATTAAAAAAACAAATAAAATAAAGATTGTATCCACCTACAGCTTAGAGAGAGAGAGAGAGAGAGAGAGAGAGAGAGAGAGAGAGAGAGAGAGAAAGGGTCTGAAAGTATAGCTCAAGAGCAGAGTGCTTGCCTAGCCATGCATGAGGCCCTGGGTTTGATCCCTAGCACTGAAGGGGAGAGTGAAAGAATGATGAAATGAATGATTTTATACCTAAGATCCAAACCTTCAATTATACAAAATCTGGATGAGGCAGATCTGACTCACCAATAACTCAAAAGCAGAGGGTTAACAGTATGAATCACTAAAAAAGTAATTCTAGGTTATAGGTGACTGAAATATAGAATCTATAATAAATGGTCTTATGAGACTTACTGTGTATACATGTGTCAATGCTGGGGAATCAAATCCAGGGCCTTGCACATGGTAGGCAAGCACTCTACCACTGAGTTATATTCCCAGTCCTACACACTTTTTTAAAATTTGTTCTTATTATTATATATGATTGTTATATATGATAGTAGAATGTATTTTGACATATTATACATATATGGAATACAACTTCTCATTATTCTGGTTGTACATGATATAGAATTAACATTGGTTGTGTAATCATATATGTACATAGGATAGTAATATCTGATTCATTCTACTAACTTTCCTATTCCCATTCCCCCTCCCTTCCCTTCATCTAAGCCAAAGTACTTCTATTTTCCCGTACCCCCCTTATTATGAGTTAGCATCCTCATATCAAAGAAAACATTCCAGCCCTATATACTCTTATTTTATGAAGTATAAGTCAATCCAAGGAGATAAAGCAGGAAAAGGAAGAACTTCACAAATTATATATGCAGATCATCACACAGATACGTTTAGCCTGAAAGATGACCTTTCTGGTTTTGAAGTATAGATCTAAGATGAACCAGTAGAAGTGAGAAAGTATAGTTCCATAGAAAAAAGCATTTCACCACTATGAAGTATGTTCTTCATCTCTACAAAGTTTTCAGCCTGGAGTGCATTTAAAAATGGAGAGTAGAATTTTGTTGTTTTTAATATTACAATGATTGATTAAGGAGGCAAAGTATTTAGTGAGTGAAGCAGGCCGGCAGGCAGGCAGGGAAGAGAACTATACAGAGAACTAATAGTCCTACCCAGTAAGCCATCAGCATTCTATATTGAGAATTATGACAGGTAATGAACCATTAAAAATTATTTTAAAAAGACTTCTGCATATAAAAAATTATTGCAGAGTGACTGCACAGTAGTTTAAGAACATTGCTTCTAAAGTCAGACTACTTAGATTCAAATTGTAACTTTACCACTTATAGCTATATAATCTTAGGGGAGTAACTTAAACTCTCTTTGCCTCAGATTCCTTACCTGTGAAATGGACATAACAACAGTACCTACCCCCACAGGGCCATTATGAAGATTTAAACCAGCAAATATTTGCAAAACATTCAGAATAGTGCCTGATAGCTAGTAACAACTTTATAAGTGTTAGACAATGGGTGAGGGATTAGACAAAACCCTCTGAATTTCACTGATCAATTTTTTAAAATAGGTAGATTGGTGCAGTTGTTTTTCAGAACATTCCACCTAAGTCATGAACCAAACTTTGTAAAAATAAATATTGATTACCAGAAAAACAAACACATACTTGCATGTTTCAGTGATGTTAAACCACTATAAGAGTTTCTAGAAGCTTTCTCTCAATTTTTGTACTTATCTCTTCATTAACTAGTAACAGCTACTTCATAGACCAGTACTGGTTGGTCTATGGATCAGACTCTTAATAATATTAATCTAGAATCTATACTCTAAGTGATCTTTATTTTATTCCTTTCTCTCCAACCCTCCCACTCCCCCGCCCCCGCAATGGAGATAGAACCTAGGAGCACTCTATCACTGAGTTACATCTCCAGCCCTTTTATTTTTATTTATTTATTTATTTATTTATTTTGGCAGAGTGGGTGTAACCAGAGATTGAACTCAGGGACACTCAACCCCAGAACCACATCTCCAGCCCTATTTTTGTATTTTATTTAGAGTCATGGTCTCACTGAGTTGCTTAGCATCTCACTTTTTTTGCTGAGGCTGACTCTGAACTCACAATCCCCCTGCCTCAGCCTCCCAAGCCAATGGGACTACAGGTGTGTGCCACCGCACCTGGCTTAATTTTTTGAGACAGGGTTTCACTCAATTGCTAAGGCTGGCCTGACACTTGCAACCCTCCTGCCTCAGCCTCCCAAGTTGCTAGGATATAGGAATACCTCACTACACCCAGTTCTCTAAGTGATCTTTAAAGTCCTTTACTTAAAATTCTTAATCTTTCTCACATTGGTACTTTATTCCTTTATTTTCTTTCAAATTCTCCAAGAAGGAGTGTTTTTTTTAATATTATTTTAAAGATGGACACAATATCTTTATTTCTTATATTTATTTATTTATTATGTGGTGCTGACAATCGAACTTACAAGTGCGAGGCAATACAGCACTGAGCTATAGCCCAGGCCCAAAAAGGAGTGTTTTGATTTCAGTTACATTTTTAAATTTTTTATTGGTTTATTACAAAGTATTATGAATACTTAGTTGAGAAATGCTAAAAAGCAGAGGAAAATAAAAGCCATCTACAGATCACTTAATATTTTTAATATTATCATTTGTAGGGAGTTAGGGTATAGCTCAGTAGTAGAGTGCCTCAATGTGTGGCTTCAATCTCCAACAACAAAATTAAATATCACCTGTAGTATATGTGTGTAATGACCTTGCCACTGTCTCTCATTGAGACTTCAGTCTCCAGTGATCTCATTCAACAGACCTCTCAACACCACTATGTTCCCTTCTCTGGTCAAATGGGAATGTTACAAGCTTTTTACATAATGTTGTATTATGTCCTTTATTCTATTAAGGGTTTTTCTCATATACACTTGAACTTTTTTAGCAGGGGGAGTACAGGGAATTGAACCATGGGTGCTTTACCACTGACCTACATCCCAGCCCTTTTTATTTTTTATTTTGAGACAGAGTCTCCTTAAGTTGAACATGCTGGCCTCAAACTTGCAATTCTCCAGCCTCAGGCTATCAAGTCGATAGTATTACAGGTATACACCACCAGGCCAGGCTAGATATTTTTTTTTTAATATTTTTTAGTTTTAGGTGGACACAATATCTTTATTTTACATTTATGTGGTGCTGAAGATCGAACCCAGTGCCTCATGCATGCTAGGTGAGCGCTCTACCACTGAGCCACAACCCCAGCCCTAGACATTTTTCATATTTGAAGTGAAATAGATGAGTAAAAACATAAAATAGGGACTGGGATTGTAGCTAAGTGGCACAGTGCTTGCTTCTCATGTACGGGTTCGATCCTCAGCACCACATAAAAACAAATAAATAAATGTGTTCATCTACAACCAAAAAAATATTTAAAAAAACATAAAATAGCTGAAAATAATTTCTTCTTCCACAATATTTTGGCACAATGACATTAGGAGGACTAAAACCTTTAAAATCTTCAAATAAAACTAACATCAATCCAGCAGTTTGGGAGGCTGAGACAAAGAAGATACCGAGTTCAAAATCAGCCTCCAAAATTCAGTGAGGCCCTAAGCAACTTTTCAAGGACAACCCCACCCCACCCCACACTCCCACCCCCACCCCATCTCAAAATAAAAAATAAAAAGGGCTGGGGATATGGCTCTATGGGTAAGTGTCCCTGGGTTCAATCTCTCGTATCAGAAAAAAATAATAATAACAAACAACATCAAATATTACCCCATTTTTACATGTTATAAAAGAATGTATTTTTAAACTAAGGTATATTGAATAAAATATTACCATGTGTGAATTATATCTCAGTAAGGCTGTTTAAGAAAATAATGGGATGCTAACTATATTCAGGATACTCACAATAATGTCAAAAGCACATAAACACATATCACTGTATGATATACATACAAAAGATACCTGGACAAGAAACAGGTAAGCTAACAATAGTTGAACCCAGGAAAAGGAAGCTAGTTGAGGACAGGCACAGGAGGTAAACATTTCACCATATACCCTTTTGTACCTTTAGAAATATGAACTTGTGTATGAAATTACATATTCAAAAATTGTTAAAATCTTATTTTTCAGTATCAATCAAGCATTCTTGTTTTACCTATCCAACCAATAAAGAAAGGACAGATCACTGACTATAATACATTTGACATTAATCATTCATTGCTCTGTGATTTCCTGTTTACTAATCCCCTTCCCCTTACTGGGAGTTAAACCCAAGGCCCAGAACATGCTGGGCAAGTGCTCTACAACTGAGCTACATCCCCAGCCCTTTCATTTAATCATTTATTTTTACTTTGAGACAGAGCAACTAAGTTACTCAGGCTGGTGTCCAGCCTGTCTATTTTCCCATCTTTAGTTTCCTGAGTAACTGGGACTAGGAGCATATGCCACTATGCTTCTTTGTTTTTGGTTCTGAGGAT